CAGACCTCTCCTGACCCACCCACTGCTCCCTCAGCAGTGTACTTCATCAATCAATCTGTTCTGCTCCCCAATCTGTCTCTGGTGAAGCTTCTTACCACCCCTGAACCTCTTGCTCCCCAGTTCTATATACATAAATAAATAATTTATTTTTAAAGATTTATTTATTTGTGCATACAGAACTGGGGTACAGGCCAGAGGCTCAGGGGCGGTGAGAGGCTTCACCAGCGACAGAGTGGGGGAACAGAACAGGCAAATCGAGGAAGTACACTGCTGAGGGGAGCAGCGGATGGGTCAGGAGAGGTCTGCCACACCATGTGGTCACCTCCAGGGCAGGCAGAAATCAAACTCATGCGGAAGTGGCTCCAGATTCTCAGTGCTGTGCTTTAACCCACTGCGTCACCAGGGAGGGCCCTAAATAAATATTTTTAAAAAACAAAAATAAAAATGCAGGGTCTCTCTGGTGGCACAAGGGGTTAAAGCGCAGCACTGTGAAGCTATCCTCAGCCACTGCAATAGGAGTTTGATCCCCAGCTAGGGTGGTGATCCACATGGTGCAGTAGACCTCGACTGTCTCGCCTGTTGCTCCCCTCAGCAGTGTATTTCAGTCAATCTGCCTGTTCTATTCCCCACTTTGTCTCTGGTGAATCCTCTCACCCCTCTGCACCTCTGGTCTGTACACTAGTTCCTGTATGCATAAATAAATATTTTTTTAAATGCTGCTTTCAATTATATAAATGGTAGTAATAGGTTAACACTTAAATTGCCCTTTGTAGTGACCAAGCATTGTTCTAAGAGTCTTACATATATTAACCAATTTAATCTTTATAAAAATTTTAGGAGGAAAATAATAGCCTTCTCCTCATCTTATGCATGAATACAGAGAGGCACAGAGAGGTTAATTTCCTGGGTGGGAAGCACAGGCCAGTAGGTGGCAGAGCTGGAACTTGAAGATAGGCTTGCTCCAGAATGCTTGCATAGTGTTACAAGTTGACCCCTTTTGAAGTTACTAGTTTCTGCTGCTACATACTTGCAGTTGGTAGTGGACCAGAAAGAACTACAAGTTCAAAACTCAAGCAATTCAATTCTGACTTCCTTCTGTGTACCTGGGCAGTTTACATTCTGAGCTTCGGGATTTTTTCCTTTGTAAATAGGAACAATGATAATACTTATCTTGCCTGCTTCATAAACTGTTGAGTAGAACAAATAGGACAATGTATGTGAAAGTTAAGTGGTACATGGTTATTAAACTTCATTTTTTTAAAGATTTGTTTATGCATGTATACAAGAACTGGGGTGCAGGCCAGCGGTGTGGTGGTGAGAGGACTCAGAGACAGACTGCAGAACAGAACAGGCAGAGATACTGAAATACACTGCTGAGGGGAGCAGTGGGCAAGTCAGGAGAGATCTGCTGTGCCATGTGCCATGGGAGCTGGCAGGGGATCAAATTCATGCTGCAGTGGCTGTGGATAGCTTCATAGTGCTGAGACTTAACCCCTTGTGCCACCAGGAAGGCCCATTAGTTAAACTTTAAATGGGCATGTCTATTAGAATATAAATTCAGCTGTATGGTATGAAATGTTCCCTAAAGTTAATTGGGCTATACCTCAAAGATGGAGCAGCTGTGATTTGGAGCCAGGGTTTCTGGTATATAAAATCCATGTGCCTAACTACACCATTCCACTCACTCCTCTGACATTTGGTCATGATTGTAATTAATGACACACCATTGTTTTCCTGTGCAGTCACTAAAAGTAAGAATTTAGACAGACATTGTCCTTTAAGAATACCCCACAAAATGTTTCTCTGGTGGCCTAAATCAGAAGTTGCTACTTCTGACCTAACAAACTGAGCTGACAGAGGCAACAGAGTAAGAGACATGAAGTGACAAAAAACGGATGTTCATGTAGATAGAAATGCTTGACTAAGGAGAATTTCTTCTTTTCCTGGCAAACTGGGTACATTCTAGCTATATGCCTTAAAGACTCTGAGATGGAAAGCAGCTCAGATTTCCACACAAGAAAGGTACTGCCAATCTAGTAATGTTCTGAAGTACTTAGGAAAGAGAATATAATTGATTTTCCCAGGACATACAGTTACTATGTCCGGCAAGGTCTTTCCATGTTTAGGCAAAGAGGAAGTAAAAACAAAATCAAGCTAAAATAAAAACCACATGTATACTAATGTTAGCACTTTCCTTTTATCCCTTTCAGCAAGTTATAGGCATTATAGATCATTCCAATCCCATCAAGGGGGAAAATCTATTAATCAACCAAGAAGTACTGATGAGTGTCTCCTTCATGATTACCCCAGGCATGAGCTTGGGGTTCATATGATTCCTGTTAGCAGATTAAAATTTAATAGGTGAGGCTTTTCAAACATGCTTGACTTTGTGTCACCAAACATCAATGTAATGAAAGTAGAGGTTGTAATTTCCCTGAATGAAAAACAAAAGAAAAATGAAAAGAAACAGAAAAAAAGGCGTTGGAGAAGTTTGAGAACACAGAGCTTAGTTGTGGTCTACTAAATCATAACATATCTTAAGTAAAATGTACACAAAATCATTAGAACCACCTTTAAATACATATTAAAACCAATCTCTATCATATATGGTAGAAAATGAAGATAAGTTAATATCTATCTAGGTCTATTATAGACCTTTTTATTTAAGAAACCATAAATACTAGACAGTTGACCCTTGACCAACACAGATTTGAACTCCCAGTTTTTTCTATCTACAGTTTCCTGGTTCATGGATTCAGCCAAACATAATGTCCATTAGTAGAATCATGAAGGCAGAACCCACAAATATAGGGTGTAAACTGAGTTATGACCTTAGTTATAGGAGGTTGTTGCCTCTAATCCCCCCAGTTGTTCAAAAGGTTTGTAACCATCTATGTTTCCTTAAGTGTGCTATACCTTTGTCATTCATTTCTTCATTCACTTCTTCAACATCCTGTCAATATCAGCAAAAGCTCTGGCAAGGGTCCTGCCTGTGAAGATAAATAAACTGTGGTTCCTGTTGTTTCAGTATAATCACTCCATGTGTGTAAATCACTATAACGAAAACAAAAGAAAGAAGTAGTTATCTCAGATGAAATACGGGAAGAAGGCAGAATTTAAGTAGTTAACACTATTTTAGCGATCTCTACTTTGGATCAGATTTTTCTAAGTCAGGGAATATTATTTCTCCTATCTCACACTTCTGTCCTTTGTTCTCTCTTGCCAATTCTCAATCTTTCTTCTCCTGTAGCAAAGGGGGAAGGAAATCAAAGTAGCTAGTGGGTTGAAGGGGAAGGAGGAAAGGGTTCTGGTACCTTCCTATGCTAGGTCCCCATTTTGGGAGGCAATGGGGGAAAGGAAGGCTGCATTCTGATAAAATGAAGCCTGATAAGAATCATGTGTGAAAAAAGCCACAGAGGCCTATACCCTCCTTTATAGTGTTATGGACTTTGAGGTTTCATAACTTAACTAAAGTCATATAACCAATCTCAATCTTCCTCAATTTCACAAAGATTAGAATGGGTCAAGGGAGCACCTCTAGTGCAGCTGAGTGCTGGGTGGGGTTAGCAAGCCAGAGATAGAAGCTCCACTATTGCCTTCCACGTCATCGTCAAACTCATGCTACTTACAACAAAGCAGTTTTAAATGTCTGATCCTCCAAAGAAAAGAAGACTTAACTTAGTCACCTCATAATCCTCTGTTTCATAAGGAAAACCACACCATGACTATCACTCAAAGAATTTTGTATCTCTTACTGTTTTTTGTTACTCTTTCCATAAGTTTGACTGATTTCTCTATACCCTTTTGAAAATGTGGCAATGACCCAGATTGAACTCAAGTACTTTTTCCTGAAGTAAAAAGATGTTCTTGTACTCTGCTTTTCCTGTTTTTTTGTTTGTTATTAAATTTTCAGAACAACTTTATTGATTTTAAATGTGTCAACAATGACCTTGAGATGTTTGTTTTTTGTTTTTATAAAGATGCTTTCTTGAATGTTGTCCTTTTTGTGATCGCCTGTCTACCCCCTCCCCATTTTTCAGCTTGTCAGTAATAACCGAGTCGCAGACACTTGTCAAGAAATCTGATCATTGTCTAATAGGATTTGGGATGAAATTAAGGCGGATCTTGTACCTTTCCTGTTCCATCTTTAGCAACTCAACCTGTAGACTGTTCAGTGATCAAATGATAGGAACTGTACTACCACTACTGCCCAGTCTTCCACCATCCACTCATGCACACATTCCATCATCCAATCTCAGACTCTCACTGAACCCTAGACACTGAATTTTGGGGTATTCAGTATTGTAGTTTCTCAGAGACAGAGTCTGAGTTTGTGACTAAACCTGGCCAGCCCATCCCGCGATGTCCAATGAGACAAAAACGTCTACTATTTTCAAGGTGATGACACGAGACTAGAACGTCCCGAGTCCGAGTCCTTCCGGACAAGCTTCTGCTTTTGGACGCCTCTTTGCCTCCGACACCTCGCGGTGTGTCAAGGTGATTCGCGGAGTCATTTGAAGGGGTAGTGCTGAGTGCTGTCAATATTTACCAGGCGCCTCAGAGTAGTTTTTCCTGCCCGCCCAGTGGCTGGGTGGCCAGCCTACAAGTTCTCATTCTTCACTTCCCAGTTGGCCACACTCCCCGGCCCCCGACACCCCACCCCACTTTTTGGCTCCTCCCCGTTCCTCCAGCCCGAGCCTCTCACACCTTTGCTCTAAGTCCGCACCTGGGAGCGCGCAGAGATGGAGGCGGAGCCGTGGGGCGGGATCGTGACGTCACCCGCCCGGAGAGGGCGGGGCTGTGGGAACCGCAGTGCAGCGCAGAGGGGCGGGACGGGACGGGGCGGGGCCTGCGGCGCGTGACCTGGCTGCGGGAGGCAGGAGCGGGGAGAAAGGTGTGGAGGAGGGGCGCTCGGACCTGCAGATTCCCGAGTCGAAGGCGGGGCGGGGAGTGGCCGGGCGCGGCGGAGGCGGCCGGCGCCGCGCTAAAGCGGGTCACGCTTCCTCCTTCTCTCCCCGCCCCTTCTCCTCCCACCTGGGCCTCTGCGTGGAGACGCGCACCTGGCAACCAGCGGCCGCGCTCCGCCGCGTCTCCGCCTTCTCCGCTCCGGCGGGTTGCCCCGAGCTTGCCCCGCACCCCGAGCCAAACCCTGCGCTCGCCCTTCGGCCCTCCGCTGGCGCTGCGCTCGCTGGCGGCAGCCTCGAGCGCTCGCTCGTTGATGCCGTTTTGGGGGTGATTCGGCGCGACGGCGGCGCCTCCATGGTGGGGGCGTGTTAGTGACCGTGGTTCGAGCGGACACAGAGTGCACGGCTGCGGGGTGGCTGGGAGGCCAGCCAGCGAGACCCCGCGCGCAGCTCGGATTTCGGGGCGCTGCAGGAGGCCGTCAGGGCCGCGGGAGAGCCGGAGATGTTGGAGCTGAGGCACCGGGGAGGCTGCCCCAGCCCCGGGGGAGCGGTGGCTCCGCCGCCACCCCGCGAGGGAGAAGCGGCTGGCGGCGACCACGAAACCGAGAGCACCAGCGACAAAGTAAGTGGAGCTGCGGGAGGTGCACAGCCGCGCCCGCGCCGGGGCCGGTTTGGGCAGGGACACCTGGGAGCAAGGGTGGGGCCCACGAAATGTCAGGTGAAGGTGCGAGCTGCCTGTTGCGCTTTCCTCCCCGACCTCATATTATTGCTCCCTCCTTTCCCAATAGGGGTCGAGATTCCGGACCCCAGTGATGGTGCTGTTTTCCTAAGATTACTGCAACTCTGTATGCTGTCCGGGAAACCTGGATGATTGAGTTTGACTATAATGTATAGCTTCCAATTCCAGTCTCTTCCCTGTAGCAGAGGGCGACACTAGAATCAGAATGAAACCTGCCTCTTAGGAGCTGCAGTTTTCTAGTAGCTGCCATCTCACACCTCCTCTCTGCAGGGGAACAAAGTTAGTTAGGACTCAACTTAAGACTTGCACCTTTGGTTCTAACTTGTCATTGGATCCTGACGCTGGAGGCTTGGCTTCTTGCGCTCCCCCATCAGCACTTTCGTTTCCTCTGTCCTTTTTCAGTGTAATAGATTTTGGAGGTTTGAGAGAATCATACACGTGACACACTGTAATTTATCTCCAGCTTCTTTTGAGTCCTTGGCGGACAGTGCAGTTCTTCTTTCTACCAGTAGATTTCATTTAGCCTGAAACGGTAATTCATCAAGACCTTAAACTCCCTTTTTAATAAATTATCCTTGTTTCACATGTAATAATTAGTTGATGCAATACCACTATTCTATTTAAAGCTAGAAAGAGTCCAAGTTTGTGCTAATTTGTTGGTAATAATGGTGGAAGGAGGATGTTTTAATGCAATATTATGACCTCTTAGGGGAAGTTTAAGAAATTCTGCCAGAGAAAAGATTGCTTTATAAGGCAGGCTGATAAAAATTCCTTTTAATGTAGACACTCAAAACTCTTAAGCTATTCCTGGAAGCATTCTGTTTTGGTAACAGGTATTACAGTTTGAATTGCAGAAGTATAATGGACTGCCCAAGGTCAAGTCAGTGGCAGTTTAGAACTAGAACCTGTTTCCTGATAGCTTTTCTTCTGATTGATACTGTTGCAGAGACTCCTTGGCAGTTCTGATTTGGCTCCATCTAGAACTTGATGTTAATGAAAGTGATCTAAACCAAATTACAAAATCCTGGTAGGAACATACCACAGAATATCACAAAATAATAAATTTAACAGCGATGTTAGGACCGAAAGGATGTTAGCACAAGATACTTTTTTCCCTACCTTTGACAGTGGGTGGAATCAGATGAGTCTTTTAGAACATATGTGTAAGGAATTACTATATATATATATATGTATGCACACACACACACACATACACATATATATATATATATATATGTGGCTTCCAGCTAGCCATAGTTGATGTTATAAAGCTAGAAACAGTGGGCTGAGAATAGTCTTTGTGAAAACTGCCTTGGAAACTAAACTAAAAATAGAATTAATTGGGTTGGGATTTGTTTTGTTTTAACACTGATAGAATTTAGACTCAAGGAAACATCAGCTTCTCCATGTTGAGTTCTTCAACCAGAAGAAACTATTAAGTTTTCAGTAAGAGAAACACTCAGGAAGTCACACAAAATAACTTGAATTTAATTTCTTAGCAAGCTACTGTATTTAAAATGAATAGTACTTCTGCGGTTTGATTTGACTCATTAGAATTAGTCTCTTGCTCTTTGTGATGGGTTAACTCACTGGCTATTTATTTATTTATACACATTGCACTGTTGGTTTTCACTAATACATGCCCAGCTGGATTTTGTTTTTGGGAGTAGACATTGCTATATGTTGATATAGGATGAGCTAAATATTGATTTATATTTAGAGTTTGTTATAAGGAAATCTTGACTTGGCAAGACATTGAACTCCATCCTTTGTCCTTTCTTATCATGGTGCACAGTTGAGTGCACCTTTATTTCTAGGCCAAAGGCTATTTTAAAATCACTTTATAAATTGGAAGCTGGTTAATATTTGGTGCCTTCTCTGTTAAAGTTGTAGTAAAGTTGTAATTTCTTTTGGGCAATTAATGAAAGAAGCAGAGAAAGTATATTATATTGTGCTATTGTAGCACATCCCTATGTTATTTTGTAGTCTTCTAATAGTGCTATTATTAACATGACATTCTCACTGTTCAGAATCTGGAGACTATGCTGAGAGAAGGCTCTGCTCCCAAGAATTAGTGAGTAAAAAAGCACTTTTTACCTGCAGGGAATGTTCATAATTGTTAAAAGCTGCAGAAGTACTTGAAAGGTAATATTACAACCCCCTCAAGTTGCTCTATAGGAGACATAGGAGTTAGATCTATTGAAAATCTGAGTAAGACTCACTGTTAGCAGAGTGGGCATTTTTGGACTCGATATGGCCACCACAGGAAAAGCTTTGAATAGGAGGTGAGGGGTGAATTTGGAACTTAAAGATCCTGGGGGCCTCACCAGGTGGACATGTGTTAGGAAAGGGCGTTCTAGGTAAAGGGCACACTTGAATCAGCACTCTAGGACCATGGAATTGAAATGAGTTTGATAACCATGGGGCATAAGCTGCACTCAATTGGGAGGTGGGGTCGGAAGTTTGAGAGTCTTGTGAAGGTTAGACTTTATTCAGTGAACTCGGGAAGCCACTGAAAGGTTTTTGGAGACATGAGCCTGTACTCTAGCAGCAGTATGGAGAAAATGTTGGAAGCTGGAGCAATCTGCCACAAAGAAATCACATGGGGACACACTGCAAATGCTAACATGAAGTGTCGAGGGCTTGTGTGGAAGTTAAATGGAAATAATCAGAATATATCTAAGAAAAGAAGCTCCTGCTTAGGAGATACATTTTGATTCACATTTTTTTTTAAAGATTTATTTATTTATTTATTCATATAGAACTGGGGTTCAGGCCAGAGATGCGGAGGGTGAGAGGATTCACCAGAGAGAGAACAGGCAGATCGACGAAGTACACTGCTGAGGGGAGCAGCGGCCGGTCAGGAGAGGTCTGCCTCGCCATGTGGACACTGCTGAGGGGAGCAGCGGCCGGTCAGGAGAGGTCTGCCTCGCCATGTGGACACTGCTGAGGGGAGCAGCGGCCGGTCAGGAGAGGTCTGCCTCGCCATGTGGATCTCCTCCGGGGCAGGAGGGGATCGAACTCATGCGGAAGTGGCTTCAGCTTCTTAGTGCTGCGCTTTAGCCGCTGCGCCACCAGGGAGGGCCTATTTTGATTCACATTTTAAGAGACTAAGAAGAAAAAATATTGGGTAGTCTTTCAGGAGTAAGCATGGTGAGTTGGGGTGGATCATTCTCTACAGTAGACAGGAGGTTCAAGGTGGTGATGGACATGCCAGGACTATAGACGTTAACTTTGATCAGCAAGGGGAGAAAGAACTAAAGACAGAGCCGTGGGAGGTGCCCATTCTTAGAGTAGGGATGGAGGTTAGGGAAAGAGCCAAGGTAATGAGGAGTCTGGGAACTATAGGGGGAGGGATTTCTTAAGAGAATGTCACCAATAGTATTTTGGAATGAGGGTGAGGCATTGAACACTGCATTTAGCAAAACACTGCATTTAGTAGGAGCCAGGTTTTAGGTTGAAGAACTTAAGAGGTATAGTAAGAACTTTTTTTTAGGAAGTGCCATTGAGAGAGAATACTGAAGAGCATTGAGAGAGGACTGAAGGAGTAAAGGAAGTTTTTCTTTTTCATAGGAGGGAGATAGGTATTTAAAGAAGTCAAGTGAGAGTGAACATACTGACAAGGATGGGCAGATCATAGAATATAGAAAGCCAGCGCGGTTTGGAGAATACAGAGGAGTGGGGTCTTTAAGAAAAAGAAGAAAGAATGGAGGGTAGATGCAGAAACATTTTGAAAAGTAGAAGAGGGGAGATTAAAGTGACTGATGTTTTCAATTTTTTCAGGGAAGTAGGCAGTCAGGTCCATAGAGCTTCAAGGGAGCTTGAATGCAATTTAGTTCAACCTAATATAGAAAATACAAATAAACTACTAGAGTGTGGTAGTTATTCCCCCAGCATGATGCAGAGCAAAGCTGGGGCTAGAACGCACGTCTGGGGCACATCTGGAGTGTCATGATAGGCGTGTCATATGGCATAATTAAGTGGCCACCAACAGAATTAATGATCAAACTGGAGGATTCAGTTGAACTAAAACAATGCAAATTTGTTGTTGTTTCCACTTTTGTAAAGCAAACTTTAACATGTTTCTTCTTGGATGGTGCAGTTAAATATAGAGAGGCTTTGTGTGTTTTGTGTTTGGGCTATCCCTTTTAAAATGGGTCATTGAAGAATTTGCAGACACATTTCCTGAGGTTTGGCTTGGTCCTGTGCCTTCAGCAAATGCTGAGCAGTCAGTAAATGCCTTCGCTAAGTGCCTATCTAATTTGAAGTTCTAATTGAATGTCACATTTTTTGTGGCTCTTTGTACCTTTGAGAAAAGGGCGAGAACAGAAAGGCGTCTGTTGCTCAGCAGCTAATTGTAGAATTTACTGTCTTGGATTGTGGACTTTAATTGCATGGAAACAAGATAATGTAAAATAATTTATAGATTGCAAAATTTGCACTTAATATACAACATCAATGATAGAGAAATAACCTTTGTCTGCACTTGAAAAAAATAAAAGTTCAAGACCGCAACACAATTACAGACCTCAACACATAAGTATGGGTCTTTCGCCCTCTAGAGAGGCAATTCAACAGAGAGCTCTAGCTCAACCAAGCAAGAGAGACAAGTCAACAGACAGCTTCAACTGAACCTAGTTGAGTCCTAGCTAATTTTTCCTGGAGACTCACGTGTAAGGGAACCTGTGCTGGAGAGCAGTTAGCCTGGCTCCACAAAGGGTGTGAGGAGATATCTGAAGGGTGGGTAGGTCCTCAGGTGAGGAGGAGGAGAGTAAGTCAGAACTTGTCCTAGGTTGGGCTTTGCCCTGGCCTGTGTAGAGGAGGACACACCAACCTCACACAGGGTCTCAGCCTTCTGCCTCTAGGAAATTGTGAGCCATGAC